ACACGAGGGTAATGATATCCAATCTGGCGAATGGGAGGCCGATGACATTATTGAAAAAGAGGACATCGACAGCGTTATGCACTACATGAGGACCTGGAAGCCAACACTCGAGCCTGAAGATAACGTGGTACATGTGAAGAGTTGATTCAGCAGTGGAAGATAAGGGTTCAGGTATAGTGTAGAGGGAGAAACGGTTGTGAGATCAAGACGTACCGAGCTACTGCTAAAGGTCAGGTTCGGGTTTTTTAAGCCCGTTATCGCTTTCTTTAACTTCTTATTGGTATCTTTTCTTTCCTAGAATTAGAAGGTTTTGTTAGTACTTCAATGGTACCGGTAAGACGATTAAGAATAAACCTGTTATGTCCGTCTCTCCTTTGAATGGAATAAAATAAACATTTTTTTATCCTAGCAAGAGTGATTTTGGAAGCGCCATAAAAATAAAGCTATATAACTGAAGATTCCCGGCTGGTTGTAATGGTATTTGTGAATCTCTAATTATATTCTATCAATTCCGATTTAACCTAGCATTACTGGAACAAACTAAATTATTCCCTCATGATTTAGAAAAAGCTACTGAATTAAGAACGTAGATAGATTACCCGATGTTGCTTTTTAATAATGCAGCCCTCGCCAGAGTTGTGGAGGGATTGGGATCCGTTGTCAGGGTACGGCTAGGCCGAAGGCAATAGTACAGAGTGATGGGGAGTAACGGGAGTCCCTCCTTGATACGTGACCCCATGGGGGGTTGCCCTATAGCTAGAGATAAGATAGATAAGAGCTATAAAAGAGCTCTGCCAGGCCAGAATAGCTGACCTGGCCATCCTTTCCCAATACAACAATTCACACCCCATATGCACTCGCATCACTCCTACATAGCACCGGGTGGTCACTTGCGGTCACTGGTAGGGGTGCCCACGATGATGCATTGATCTCTACTCCTTCCCTATCCTACTTCGAGATGGTCCTTATATAGATAGCTAGGCCGCCGCTTGGACTCGGCATAACAGCAGGGTCGGCGATGCCGAGGATCTTGACTCTCGTCATCCCAAAGCTTCACATAGATTGTAATCATGACTCGGGAGTCTTTTGTCCGAAACACCCCTCCGGCGGCCCACCGGTGTCCTGCGTTCAGTGTCCTGACATCCGTTAACAAACTCATCTCTTGCCTTTTACCAGAAATGACTGTGGCGTGACCCAAATAAATCCCTTCCATAATCTTTGGACCATATTGTCTGCCGCTTGCAGAACCTGTAACTTTTGCGTCTACCCTATGCCAGATCAGGACCGGAAAAATAGGACTATCAGCTTTCTTATTTAAGATAGGAGCCTTCGGTGTGTACTCGCCGCTATGCCGCTGTGGAGAGGCTCCCGAGACGGCAGAGCACGTAATCTGTCGAATATCACGTGTGTCCAATCGAGTAGTCAGCAGTGCGTAAGATTGTATATGAATGAGGTGTGTTGTTCTCTGTCTTCTGTTCTCGCGAACTCCCGTTGCTCTGCCTTTTATAGATTCTTTAGAACATGTCGGTAACTTTGGTGTTACTTTTGAGAAGAGGGGTTCCTTTCGCCTTCTGAACTTTAAGTGACAATAGTCTTCTCTAGTGTCATATTATTTCTGAACCTAGGAACCAGGTGCCCTATCTGACATAATCCTCTTTTGCGGCCTGCTGGAAGAATCGAGAGAGCGCCTGCGGGCCACTATCGCACCATGGCCGCTGCATACACGTAGAGACCTGGCAACGGCGACGGGGAAACCAGTAGTCAGCGGGACTATCACAAGGTGGCTACTCAGGACTGGCCGGATAGCGCTTAGGCCCGGATAATATCCATCTTCTCAGGGGGACTTTGTTAGTAGGGTGAGAACTAACATAGTATTGTGGTGGACGTAACGCAGTCGCTAATAGAGCGAACCTACGTAGCAGCGTATGTATTTAGTCCAGCCATTAGGGCACGGTTTGACATACGGGAGCACTTGTAGAGGTACCGGGGGCTTCGAGCCTACGGCGTATTTAATAATAATAATAAATATAGTGTAACTAACTGCGGGATTCAGTCCTCTATCAGTGACTCTGTGCAGATTCTATCGTGATTGGTGTGTCTGTGTTGGCTGCTTTTGTACTACGTTGCCTACTAGAAGTACTATGTTGGTAAGCCAAGCTTGGGGGTCTGACCCCACTAGCTACACTTGCCGCTATACTGCCTCCGGCTAGGGCATAACTGTGGCGCTTGTTCCCATTCTATTCCCCCTTTGCTATACTCGAATAGGAAGGCACAATTGATGAAAGCTTGGCCCGCACGGGGCACCTGTGGCTTAATGGGCGGTGCAGGCCTCGACTAGCAATTACGCTAGTAGGAGCGTTCTGTTCGCGTCCTAGAGGCCTATACCGCCGTAGGGGCCACATATGGGTCCCTTGGCACTCTTTTTATTAAGAGGGAAGCTATTACAGAAGTATATACATAATCGGGGTTGTGGTGGGAGGGGAAGCTGTTGGGGGAGGAGCCTTTTCCGTACCTCTGGAGGCGACAACGTTGTCGACGATATTGTTATGGGAAGTCGCGGGTGACGAGCCCAGATGATCGGGAATTCGTCTCGGGGTAATAACGGCCCGAGGGTGTGGCTCCTCCCGCAATGGGTCCCAATAGAACTAACTAACCAATTAATCCTTTCGGCTTCACTAACAAACGAGTAGCTTATTAGAGCGCAGCCGACCGTGATCATCTTTTCGTCTTCTCCTCGCTGTATTCTTTGTTTCTCACTATGAAGATACAAAACGACTGTGAACACACTTCTCCATCCGAAATCACAGCTGCTGTGTGATGACACCCTTGGAGCAGTACCTCAATACGTTGGATCTGCTGCGTTTTCTCAAACAGGAATCCAGGCACTTCAATACAACCGATCATGTCCCAGTAAAGCAGCGAGCACCTATGTTTGGCCTCACATCCATCGACAACGACTCTTGGCTCATCGGAGACCGTGTCGTACTCGCCCGCTCCGGCCAACCCTGGCCTAGTCATACGCCAGGTCTCATCAGCACCTGGACTTCGTCCGATGGAAACCATTATGCCATTTCAGACGCGCCTATTCCGCCACCAACTTCTCGTCCATGGGCGCCGGGCGACTCTCCCGTTCTTGCACATCTCGCCGCAGGCGGCGGAATTTCTATTTCCACCGGGGATGATGCCGACCTAGCTCAAGTTACAAGCAAATGCGTCTACTACATCGGAGATGCCTTCATCAAGATGCACCACACTATACACTGCGACTCAGCCGACGAGCACGTAGCCATTAATGAATTGCGTCAACGCCTTCCAAACCGCACATTCGCGCTCCCTACAGTCCTTTATCAGGCCCGCTATGACGACCGCTACTTCCTCGTCACGTCGAAGGTTCCCGGTGAGACGGCCGAGAGGCTGTGGTGGGGTTTTGACGACGCCGTCAAGAATCACTACGCAGAGCTCATCGCCCAGGCCTGCATTGAGGTTGCCACTCTGACCTCCAACGACCTGGGCACCGGCATCGACGGATCTGCTGCGGAAAACGGGCGCTTCCGGAAGTCTTTAACGCGAAAAGACATGTCGGATGTGCATGCCAACTGCAGGATGCTCAACCTCGACGTGGAATCCTCATTCTGCCTGTTCCATGAAGACCTGGGGCCCACGAATGTCATTATCAACCCCCAGAGCCGGGCGATCGGTATCATTGACTGGCAGGCTGCCGATTATGTCCCTAGGAAATGGATTGGTATTGCCTTCGCCCGCGCGCTGGCTATGGTGCAAGATCCACCTTTCCCGGAGGGCTATGAATCGAACGATTACGCTAAGCGTGTGTGGGAGGCGCTTCAACGGCGTGGGTTTGGTGATGATGGAAGCGCTTGGCTGAGTTGGAAGAGACTTGACTGGCAATAGATGTATCTTTTATCCATAAAGACGATACCGCATGCTGGGGTTAGCATATCCTTAAAATATCCCTCTCAGCATACATAATTAAAATATATTCAAAATAATTGTGAGGAATATGTTCTTACTTCTCCGTAGTCGCAACTAGTTATCTGAGTGCCCAACTGTTGTTCAAGTTATTTCGGTAGAAAATCCAACCGTTAATAAGGCTGCAACAAATGAAAGCTACTTTCAGGTCGTTCTAGATTTCCCTAGGACATTCTCGAGCTGCCATATCTCTAATGGTCATCCTTCCCGAGAAAACTTTTCCAGGATCCATTACTGGAGTATCTGGGTTTCCTACCAATCGTAGTAGATGACCCAGGTATCTCACTACCGTTCTGTGAAGGTCAACCCTCGCAGACCCACTACAACCAGGTGACTTACAGCTGGAACACCTGCCATGGCAGTGTCAGATGGGAAGCCAATCATAATCCTTGTAGGAGCCCCGCCAAGCGTGGATGACTTAGTCGCGCTCCCTCAAACCTAAGTTGTGATCTTCTTTCCTTCGCTCCTTAGAGTAGAATCTTCGTCGATAGCACCTAATCGAGGTCTCTACCAATGCGATGCAACCCAGGTCGTGACAGAGAACACAGAGAACAATACACCTCATTCATATACAATCTTACGCACTTCTGACTACTCGATTGGACACACGTGATATTCGACAGAACCAACCATAGTTATGTGGTGAAAAACCGCAGGTCAAAGTGGTAGCGTACGAAAATCTGCCGAAGTGTGCAATTGGACCGTGGACTACGTTACATGCTAACTCTCTGAACGATTATATGCTATGCTCCGAGATGGACATTTTTAAAGCCATCTTAAAGGAAAAGGCCTTAGAAGCCGGCTCGTTCCCAGCATCCACTCGACGTGATGACGTAGGAGCCCTCACAAATATGCAAGTTCACGAACATGTTCTGAGGTTTCAGATCGGCGTAGTATAAAACGCATTCTCACGGGATCTCACTGATACCCCCCGCTGAGCACTCTACTTTCACCTGCACTGTACGTTCGAGCTCAAAAGCTGGGGTAAGATCTCACATAAGCACTGATTATTAGTAAGTTGTCAGCCGCCGAACGAATCCTATAAATGCGAACCTTTGAGAGAAGCCTTCATGCCATAACCTCAATTCTTCAACAAACTGACTTTGCGGTGAGGACAAAACCAAAAAGTTTCTACCGAACGCCGCTGGGACCAACGCCAATTCAAGCTGGAAGATTCAACTACACTGAACAATGGCGCCCACACCGTCTTCATCGAGCACATGACGCCCGGCACTAGCGTGCCTCCACATTTTCATAAGCGCTTTTCCGAATCATTCGACCTGATCAGCGGGTCCATGTCCGTCTACAGCAGCACATCGCCAGAGCTCGACGCCTTAGAGGCATCTGCCAAGAAACTTGAGATTGGCAAGCCAGTCACTGTTGAACCAAAGGTGTACCACCAATACAAGGTCGGCGGTGAACAGACGGTGCTTCGGCGTATCCTAACTCCTGGAGATGCGAACTTTGAGAGACTGTTGAAGATTCTCAATGGGTTGCACGCTGATGGGAAATTGGCCGAGATGAGTCAAAGTGCCGTTCTAATGGCGATCGTCATGGGTTTAAGTGATGCGCATCTCATTGGACCCGGGAAGGAGATGTTGGACGGTGTTGAGGCAGCGAAAAAAAAAAGATGAGATTGAGTCCCTAAGGAAGGAGTTGCTTACCATGTATGATACCGAGGAAGCTTTGCAGGACTTGCTGGTCAAAAGAGGCGAAGTCGTGTAGAACTGCGCTGAAACGCGGAAATCTCTTACACGGGGTAATCCGGAGAGCTTAGGAAGCGAGACGAAAGGGCCTGATCTAGGTATACAGCGAGCGAGACGCAAGGGATACGTGACATGGCATTTCTCTAGTTAACACAGCACTCAACTTTATGATCTCTTACTTTATGCAAATTTCAGCCTCTTGGCCTTTGCTTTGCTTTACTTTTGTTTCCGGAGTTCTTATCATCATCGCTTTTCCTCTCAAGCTGGTCTTCGAACGTCCCCCATAAACACCGCTGCGAAACTTAAACTTAAATACGAACATCAAGAATCAGCCTCAGAATGAAGAGATCATACAAAGATCTGACTCGTTCAGCTACATACATATACACAATAGAGGTAGGCCTCAATGATAAAAATGTTTGTCTACTCATATGTGCCCCTGAAAAGAGCATGCTGGTCGTACGCCATGAACCCAGTCCCTTCCGCACATCCAACATACTCGCACTCCATTTCATTTGTTTTCATAACACTCGTCTCAACCCACAGCAACACCTGTCCTCGACCACCACCCATCGGTCCCGCCGGGCAGTATGCTTTCAAGAACTCCCCACGCAAGGCGGTGTGTCCCTTGTTGGCCTTGCCGATGGCCTCCATATGGGACATATCGAGGAAATAAAATAGTTGAATCTTGCGATTGTAGTTCAGCGCAGGAATTGAGTCCTCGTGGCGGAACAAACCCGATTCCGACTCGTAGCAAACTCGCGCGTCCAAGATACCGGCCTTGGGGCCCGCCTGCACGAGATCTTGCATCCACCGCGTCACGGGCTTGTCGAACTTGGCAAACCACAGCTGCCTCTCCTGGTCTGTGATAAGGCTGTGATCCTGACCTTCGACAACGAAGCATAGATTGTCTGGGAATGTTGTCATCTTCGATCGGCCGAGTCGCACCTTTCCTGCTTGCTGAGGTGGATTGCGATCAGGACAGGCTGAGAGGGGAGACTCCAGACGGTTTTCCTCCGTGGCGTCTTGGATGCGATCTCTATAGCAGCCCCAATATCCCGAGTTCTCGACGTTGGGAACAAGCGGGGCAACGTGTGCAAGTCCCGTTACTGTCTCCTTGTTGGTGCCGAACTGCGTGCGGCATGGTGACACTCGAAGTACCTCACGCCAGACACCAGCATCTGGAGCCAGCGAGCCCCAGAATTGGACGGTCCTGGCATCATTCCACCATTCTTCAAACTTGTCTTTCGTTTCCCAGTACGTCAGCCAGGTTCTTGTCTTCCATCCTGTGAGATGACCGTTTCCGTTCTGTACAAGCTTCTCGACGTGGTCGGAACGAGAGCCCATAATGCTGTCTAGAGCATTGATCAGAGTCGCCTGAGTCTTGTTCGGTTCATTTCCTTGATACTGAACACCAAGCATGCAGTACACGAACGGCTCTTGTGATTGAAATTCGACTCCCCACATGGCTGCGCACACAAACAGGGCGTATCCAGTGGAAAGGGAGAGTTGTTACACTGGGAAGATACCAACGCCACTGCGTAGTACAACGTTTGATATCGAAGAATTCGGTCAGAGCCACCGACTTGATCGCCGAGTGAAGAGAATAAAATCATAGTTCAGTGAGTAGGATCGAGAGTGAAGTATTCTTCTACATTGGATATCCTTTATAACCGGGTCTCCCACCGTCTCATGCTTGACGGCATGCGGAGAGAACAATGCCGAAGTGATAAGGCTTAGAATCGACTTTGACGGGCACTAACGATAGGAGCAACACGATCGGGAGCTTGAACATGGACCAGCCGAACTAGAAAGGCGACACTACTTAAGACATTTAGAGTAGTTCCCAATTATCTCCGTGTAGGGTACCTAAGGTTACACATGAATTCTACTGCGGAGATAAAGGGATAGAGGGGTATCGGGCGACGCGGCGGCACATTGGTGTCTCGACCACTTACACGATGGGTAGATAAGCATGCAGATATCATGTACGGGAGTTACAATGCCGCATCGATAGATTTCCCGTGTAAACTGGGGGACCGTCCCCGGATTCCATGCTGCGGACCTACAACGTCCGCATTGATTATGATTAGACCCACACCGAATGCTATGTAGGCCGTGTAGATAAGCTGTACAGGGGTAGGCCTTGCACAGCAGCAATGCAGTTGGATTCGATGCTACATGATTGGGTAGCATTCGGGGCTGAGATTGCGTCTTATCACAATCTCGTACAGTGGCTCAAGATACAACGACTCCAGGAATCTAAAGATGCCTCCACATTCGATAGAAGTTTTCCAAAATAGGATGCATCTCAGGCTGGACTTTTGGCTAAACCCAGCAGTACAACGCTCGCGAGCCCCGACCGGAACAAACGATGGAACAGCCAAGATCGATGAGTTTTGCGTGTGACACATGCCGCCAGGGAAAGAGGAAAGTGAGTTGCTACTCCACGAACATATGCAGATCCGCCAGCTATTGGTAGTGGTTAATTGATCTGAAAATCATCTGCATAGTGCGACGCAGCCAAACCACAGTGCTCACTGTGCCGACGACAGAACAAGCCATGCAGCTATACTGGTAGTTCGAGACCCAGAAAGTAGATTTGACCCCAGCGCATCTGGCCTCACGGGCTCACCGTGGCCAAGTACTGACTCATTGTTTCCAGGAGAAAATATTGGGATGAGGACTATGTGCGAAGTCTAGAGGACCAGGTGCAATCTTTGCTCGGCGTGCTCAAGGCTGAAGGCAAAGAGAAACCCGACGTTGCCTCAGCTGGTAATTTGCAAACTGCTGGTGTCGAGTCACAGGTATCTCATATAGTTCATCCTAACTCCGTCGAGCCTTTGCCTCGGCCCGATGGTCTCCTACATAATCACGGCGTTAGTCAGCATTCGACTTTGCCGACTCCCGAGAAACCCCGGCCTGCCATGTCACAAGAAAGATCCGAAGCTGCCATAGAAGAGTTGAGTGTCATGATGTGGAGAACAAACATAGGCGATGGTGTGACCATCATCAGCGACGACTCGACAGGCTCACAGCATTTGATAGAAAATACTTCAAGCCGACTTAGGGATGGTATCCCTGCCACCACCCCTGATGCCATATTGGCCTACAGCAAAGAGCCATCATTGATGCAAAGCCTGGCGATCGCTTTCCTAGAGAATGTTAACAGCGAACACCAGTTCACCTCGTACAGGCTCAATGACCTCAGCTTCCTTGCAGGCTACCCTCACCAGCGCCCCGACCTGGCTTTTCTGCACAGTGCCGTCCTTGCCACTGGCGCAGCCTTCTCCAGAAGACAGGACTCAGTCGCTGCCGGTGAGGAGTTCGCCCGCTTCGCGGAAAGCCTGGTATTTACCTGCTGCCACGAGGCTCCCAGCGTGGCCGTGGTTCGCGGGCTCTGCATCCTTTCTTGGCGCTCCCTAGCTCTAGGGCGTGATCACTTTGGCTGGCTCTTCATCTCGATGGCAGCAGGAATATGTGTGCACCTTCGCTTGCACGTCCTGGCTTTGGACGAGTGCGCGGCGAGGTCTTGGGAGCCGGATCCCGAGCATATCCGGACCTTCTGGATGTTCTACATCATCGATCGCACGGCTATCTCGATCCTTGGACGGAACTGTGTGCTGCCTTGGCGGCGAGCGAATGTTCCTAGCTTTGAGATGACGCTGGGGGACTTAGCGGTGGCCGATATTGCTCAGGTATCGTTTGCTTGGCAGTGTAGGTTGTGGTACTTGCATGACAGGAACATGGACCAAATGTATGTTATTCATTCTACAAACTGGAGCCAGTGGCTTCCTCATGAACAACGATTTCTGACGTCACGCACAGATTCTCCTCGGCCTTTGAAACCATGAGCGGCCCCCAGCAGATCCAACTGCTTGTCTCGACACACGACGCCCTCAATACCTTCTTTCATGCCCGTGACTCACGACTTAACTTCTCATTCTCGAGGCATCATGGATGCAGTGTATCCAAACACGTCTTGTTCTTCCACATGGCGTACCAGATGGCTCTGCTCATTACTCTGCCTCCATTCCTACGATGCTTTGTTACTCGAAGTAAAACGAACACACCGCCCCAAGAAAAACAAGACCAGGAGCTCAGAACAACAGTAGACGAAGACCCCAAACTAACCGCCATGCCCCTAATCCTCCGCTCCCTTACCAGTGCAGCCTCAACAATGGTTCGTCTAATCCGAGCGTACCGCGACCAGAACCAAGACTACGACTCCAAATGCTGGCGAGCCCCCAACCCAGTCATCATCCATCACCTCCTCAGCGCAGCCATTGTGCACCTGATGAACGCCACGAGCCGGTCCGACGATGCCCTGCGGCGGCAGAGCGCTCACTGGCTGCGCGTGTGCATGGAGCTCTTAGCGCAACTGCGGGCGGGCGCATGGCGTGCCAGAGCGGACAAGAGTATCAGGGTCATTCGCGTGCTGGCGCAACGATGGGGTGTGCTGGGGGCGTTGCCGATGCGGTTTAGTTACCGGGTTGAACCTGAGGGGTCGGGGACGCAGGAGGGTGTATGGGCGGGCGATGTCAATGATGGTTGTGGGAATGGGGTGGAGTCAACAGCTGCATGTGGTGCAGGTGGTTCCAAATTAAAGGGAGCTGAATTTCAGTCGAGAAGTAACTTAGAGCGAATATTCCAGGGCTTCGAACCTAGCTTGTTCGACATAGCGGGTGCAAACCTCGACGTTGACTCTGAGGCTATGTGGGAGTTTGGTGGGTTGAGTAACTGCGATGACTTCAATTGGCTAATATAGGGGTTTATGAGTATTTGGGCGTGAATTATGCCAATCAAGCGGCACTATAACACCATTTCATATTTCAAAATCTCTGAGTCAGAATTGAAAGCCATTGCTGCAACGGTTATAGATCACTAATGTCAACATCATGCGCGCTCAAAAAACACAAAATCATCCGTGCCCTTCTCTTTCTCCTCTTCCTCGACCACTAGGCCCTCTGATGCACTTCCTGCTCCCTTGACCAGCTTCTTCAAGTTTCGGTCCACACCCAGCCACATCAGATCCGGCCTGCTGTAATGCCCCGTGCAGTGGGCGAAGCCTTTGATCCTAACAATCTCATCCATGTCCAGATCGGCATACAGAATGCCTTCCTCGGTATCGCCCAGTGGCTGTGTCAACCGTCGTCCATCAGGCCCGAAGATGGCCGAAGTTCCACCTCCTGGCGAGGACATAAGGGGCCCGCCGGCTGTACCCAGAACTTTGACGCCCTCAGCTGTGATCAGGGCGGTGCTATGGAGAACGAAGGCTGATGCTTCGATGGCGTAGACGGCTGAGAGAGCCTGACAGCCTGTGTCGTGTGGGAAACGCAGTCAGTGCGTCTGTTTGGCAAGATTGCGGTCATGTATGAGAGAAGGGGAATACGGGGCAACTCACCTTCGGCACTCATCGACCACAGATCCTTACCTTCCACACCCGAGTGGGGCGTCAGGCTTGGCCACGCTGCGACATGAATCTGCTCTCGCTGGGCCATGGCGTTGAACTTGAGCAGCGGCTGCGTATGCTCCCAACAGCTCAGCTGGCCAACTCTCGCAAAGGGTAGTTGGCCCACGACGTCAAGACACTGAGCCGATGCATCCCCAAAGATAGTGCGCTCCAAGTGCGTCGGCTTCATCTTGCGCCTGTGCAACTTAATCTCACCGTTGCTGCCAATCAGCACCTGGGCAATGTATAGAGAATCGTCGTCGTTCTCCGAGAACCCCATGGAAACGGCGATGGAGTTCTCGCGCGCGCAGGACCGGATCATTAACATCTCGGGGGATGTTAGGCGCAGCGAGTTCTTGACATATTGGACGTTCAGGTCGAAGTCCAGGGCGCGAGTCCTGGACTTAGTATTAGTACATGACAGTTACTTGGCAACCTTGCCAGACAGCGCGGAGACGAACCAAATCCAACACGGATAACCCGGTACCCAGCATTCTGGGAATGCTACCATCTGTGCGCCGTTCTCTGCGGCTTCTTTAATGAGTTTGCAAGTCTTCTGGATTGTCGCCTTGAGGTCCAACCAAACCGGCTCGGCTTGCGTGACAGCCACACGGATTCGGGATGATGCCATTGTTTCTTGATATGTGCACTATGTGTCGCTTGGGAAATTCGTTCTCAATACGACATGAGGAATACTCAAAAATAATACCTTCGTTTTTGCTTGGGCCCTCGATCAATATTCGATACAAGAGGCGGTCATTATGTATGAAATCGATATCAGAATATTACTTACACATCATATGTGACTAGATAAGGCCCATCCGAACTCGCCCAATAGGGGGTCATTAGACTCCGTATCCTTGCTGCGGACCAGTAGCTCCGCAGTGATAAACTACCCACTTGTCGGATATTCACGCATCTTGCGATGTGACCTTGTTATAGTCTTGATATAACGGTAATTAGACCGTTCTGTGTGATAGATTAATCGTTGCGTCTTCTGTTATCTGCTCTGTAGAAGGATTTCCGGCCAAGTTCAGTGGCTGGTAGTCACGTGACTCCATTTATGTGACATAAACCATGTGGATCTTCCGAATTTTGAAATGTGTTCTTGCTTTGGCCGTTTTATATCCGAGCACCTGCCCTATTCACCAGCTAATCTGCGGCCAGAGTGGAGCTTTCAACGTCAGGTTGCATATGCCGCAGGCATTTATTATCAATACAGCTAGTGTTCAGCGTGAGTGCGATTTCGGAGAGTCGTAGTCAAGGTAACTATAGACCCCCTAGTTCAGCCGACTAACCCCCACTATAATTAAATGTTTATTAGGCGCTCCTAATATAAGCCGACTGTACTTATCCTTTTTTAATCCGTAGAGATTCTTCGTAGTAACTCTAGCCTAAATATAATATTATTATTATTATTAAATACGCCGTAGGCTCGAAGCCCCCGGTACCTCTACTAGTACTCCCGTATGTCAAACCGTGCCCTAATGGCTGGACTAAATACATACGCTGTGTCACGACCTGGGTTGCATCGCATTGGTATAGACCTCGATTAGGTGCTATCGACCAAGATTCTACTCTAAGGAGCGAAGGAAAGAAGATGACAACTTAGGTTTGAGGGAGCGCGACTAAGTCATCCACGCTTGGCGGGGCTCCTACAAGGGTTATGATTGGCTTCCCATCTCACACTGCCACGGCAGGTGTTCCAGCTGTAAGTCACCTGGTTGTAGGGAGTCTGCGAGGGTTGACCGTCACACGCTGCGTCGTCGGTTCGCCCTATTGGCGACTGCGTTGCGTTCACTACCATACTACGTTGGTTCTCAACCTACCAACAAAGTCCCCCCTGAGAAGATCGATGCTATCTGGGCCTTGAAGCTGTCCGACCGTCCCTAGCAGCCATCTTACAATAGTCCCACTAACTACTGGTTCTCCTGTTGCCGTTGCGAGGTCTCTGCGAGAGTATAGTGGCCGTGGTGCGATGGCGGCCCGTAATCGTTCCCTCGGTCCTTCCAACAGCCCGCAAAAGAGGATTACGTGCTCTGCCGTCTCAGGGGCATCACCACAGCGGCATAGCGGCGAGTACACGCCAAAAGCCCCTGTCTTGAATAAGAAGGCTGCTAGTCCTATTTTTTCCGTCCTGATCTGGCACAGCGTAGACGCCTCCAGTCGGTTCAGGCCGAAATACTTGCCCCCTTTCGGTATCTGCATCGAAGGGCCCTCCGGTTCCTCAGCGATAGCGCGTCGCTGGCGATCGTGATGCTCTGCTCCGGTGAGCCATCTCTTCCTCCAGTGGTCGAGGAGGGCAGCCGGGACTGTCACGACCTGGGTTGCATCGCATGGGTATAGACCTCGATTAGGTGCTATCGACCAAGATTCTACTCTAAGGAGCGAAGGAAAGAAGATGACAACTTAGGTTTGAGGGAGCGCGACTAAGTCATCCACGCTTGGCGGGGCTCCTACAAGGGTTATGATTGGCTTCCCACCTGGCACTGCCATGGCAGGTGTTCCAGCTGTACGTCACCTGGTTGTAGTGAGTCTGCGAGGGTTGACCTTCACAGGGACCTCCTTTTCCTCACTCATCCACTCGGAGCCCCGGGCCTCCTTCTCCATAGTGTACCCTGCCGGTCGGAGTAGCTGCGACGCCTGCTTCCTCTTCGCCGGCCTATCCTGCCGGAGTATATGTGACGCTTTAGCGCTCGCGCTGCGAAGCAGATTTCTCTTCCCGCTAAGCCGTAGCCGTTCTTCAAACTTAGCAGCCCGGGCACTAAGATAGAGGTCTAGTGGCGGGATTGCTGCTTCTGCTTCCAGGTGGCGAACCGGCGTCGCTTTGTGGGCGCCACAGACTACCCGGAGGCACTCGTTCTGTATCCCCATCAGGCTCTTAGCTGGCCCTGCCGGTTCCTCACTTATAGTATGCCACGCAGTCGCCCCGAAGGCGATCGCGCTGCGGATAACCACCGTATATAACAGCCTCGCCCGTATAAGATCGCAGCCCCACGACATATTGACTAGCTTTGTCAGCAAATATAATAAAATTATTCTATAATTAATTCTAACGTGAATGTACACCGAGCTGGCCACTTTCATGCGCCAACGCGACCGGCTAACTTAATCTTTGATTTTCTGAATAACCAATTATAGTAAAGTCATATAACGGAGCAGACTTAATGCTAGCCCTTCAAGCTCTCAAAAATGACCAAAAACTTAGTCTCCGATGTTACGAACCGTTGGCCCTGAACCAACATTACAGGCCCGTTGGCAGGCCAGGTGGATACAGACGCTAGGATCACGGAACACCGCATCGGAGGAAGGAAAGGACCTACAGGTCACGTGACCTACAGGGGTGGATATGTTGGATATGTTGGACAGCCAACATATCCAAATGATCCAGAAGAAATAAGAGGGAATGGATTAGATTCCCTCCTAGGCACGGCCAAGGGAGCTCGTTTGTTTTGCCAATGGGCGGAGGAGACCAATTTCTTTACTGAGATCTGCCCATCGCACTGAACAGGAATGTTAGATGAAGACAGTCCCCTGTAACATAGATTCGACTAGCATTGACCATGCCGGCACCGCGCCCGGCACGTCTCACGTGATGAGACGTTAAATTTCAATCAATCAATCAATCAATCAGTGAAGGAGAGATGGGTATATAAGGGACAGGACTCCCAGGCATTTCATAGATAGACAGTCTCTACTTCAGTGATCAATCTAAGCATCAATCTAACCCATTGGTGAGGCAAACTGCCTTGACGACTCTATTCCCAGTTACCCTACTTGAATACTTCAGTTACCCAGAGCCCTATACTCCATACGTCGGACCCCGATATTATTGCTAAAGGACTCCGCAGCAGGACTTACTTACTAGCACAAACCCTTACAGACTCTTTAGTGGTTTACGCAGCTAGACTATTAGAGGTTTCGTTACATCCGACAAGCGGCAAAAACGTACCAAGTCCCCCGAAGTACCCTCCAAACGCGTAAAAACGGCGTACCTTTCCGACGCGATATTTTGCCCAATTCATGAACTATGACAGAATTAGAAGAGGACGTTATTATTAAGTATATACTGGACTTAGATATACGAGCGTTTCCGCCCCGGATTGCTAATGTGGAAGTAATGGCAAATTCTATCCGCGCGATACGTAACGCAGGGCCCATTAGAATGCGCTGGGCCTCGAGGTTCGTCGCACGTCGCAAAGTGTTGAAAACTCGTTAGAACCGTCCTTACGATTACCAAAGGGCCTAATGCGAAGATCCAAAGCTTATGCAGATTGGTTTCGGCTTGTTGCGAATGTTATCGCGAAATACGGTATCCAAGAGTCGGATATCTATAACTTCGACAAGACTGGGTTTATGATAGGCAAGATCTTAACCAATATAGTAGTTACGAGCTCCGAACGACGTCTCAGGCCGAAATCAATACAGCAAGGTAACCGGGAATGGGTTACCGTAATCCAAGCGGTCCAGTCTACCGGTTGGGCGCTGCCGCCGTTCATCGTTGTTGCGGGCCGATACTGTAGTGGGGCCAGGCCGGACGTCAGGAAAATAGGTGACGGGGGCCAGGGAGGACTCCCCTGTCTTCCACACTTCTTAAGGGACACGGAGATGACAGACGACTTTCAACAACTTATCATCTTTTTTTTCATCATCTTATTCAATCAACTTGACTTTTGTTTTCGATTCTAGTTAGCGAGATCTTCAATCATGCGGTTCTTTTCTATATGCATTTAGACACTACTTTTTGAAATCCTATTATTCAGCCCTCATCCTAGCCTTGATAATGACAGAGGATTGTATCTTGCTCTGATCAGAGCAACCTAGTGCCAGCGAGTGTCGAATATCACGTGTATCCAATCGAGTAGTCAGAAGTGCGTAAGATTGTATATGAATGAGGTGTATTGTTCTCTGTCTGTGTTCTGTTGTCGCGAACTCCCGTTGCTCTCCTTTTATAGATTCTTTAGAAAATGTCGGAGGTGCATTGTTCAGGTGTCTGACCCCTAAGTGGACCGTAACTTTGGAGTTACTTTCGGGAAGAAGGGTTCATTTCGCCGTCTGAACTTTAAGTGACACTAGTCTTCTCTAGTGCCATATTATTTCTGAACCTAGGAACCAGGTGCCCTATCTGACAGCGAGAGCTTCAATTCGACTTCCAGAGCCAGACGTCTTGTTCTGAGAATCATTCCGACGAGAGTCTCAGAGGCACATCCGACCAACTCGCGCACCAGACGTATAATAGCTTCGCTCTTATAACCAGTACCACTATCTTCGTCTGATAAGACCAACAGATGGGATCTGTTGGTACTGGAGCCGTCTGTTCAGTGTGTTAGGTGGTAGGTATATCCTACTGACCGCCTGACCCCGTTTCAATACCACCTCTCTTCTTGGTACGAAGACGACAACATTCCGAAAGATTAGAGAATTAGACCTAGTCCAAAAGGATAGACGACTAACGAGATCGGTATGGAATTTATTAAATACTTCGATAATTGTACGAAAGATGGAAAGTGCGGGATATATCGATTATTAGTGTTAGACGGTCACGAGAGCCACGTTTCCGGCGATTTCGAGCTATATTGCAAAGAATACAAAATTGTAACTTTGTGTATACCTCCGCACTCATCTTACATCCTCCAGCTACTTAAAGTAGCCTGTTTCGGTCTATTAAAGCGGGTGTACGGCCAGATGGTAGAGAAATTGATACGCCGGTCACTAACACATATCGCGAAGGAGGACTTCTTTCCTATCTTCAAAGACGCCTTCTTTGCAGTTTTCGGCGAAAAAAACGTTCAAGCTGGCTTTCGAAGGGCAGGACTTGTTCCATTCAATCTAGAAAGTGTGATTTCAAAGCTGGACGTACGATTACGGACCCCGACGCCTGTTGGCTCCCCAGAAATCGCAACCCGACCGTGGGTATCAAAGACGCCACAGAACCCGATAGAGGCTCATGCACAGTCTACTTTTTTGAAAAAGCGCATCTCCGAGCATCACAATAGCTCTCCGACGAATATTTTCTCAGCTGTCGACCAGTTTGCGAAGGGAGCAAAAATGATAATGCACGAGCTCGCCCTTGTACGGGCCGAGTGCGCTGAGCTTCGAGAGGCAAATAAGATGCTAAGCCGGCGCCGGAGCACTAAAAAAATGCAACCACGGGAAGTAGAATCACTTATTTTCCAAGGACAGGACCTACGGGATTCTAGGGAGTTGGCGACGCAGATACAGCAAGAAGAGCGCCGAAATAGTGGTCGCGCAAAGCGTGTTGAAACGCGCCCGAGGCGCTGTGGTATTTGCAACGGGACTGGGCATAATGCGCGAACTTGTAAGATCGCATTGCCATCTTCTGGAGAGGAAGATTCAGAGTAGTTTCAATTGATTTACGGCGTTGTGGTTTTACTATCGTAAAATTTCTATGCGAGATTATGTAAGGGTGGCCAGCTCGGTGTACATTCACGTTATCCTTATAAAAGTAATTTCAGGGCTAAAAAGAATTAAGTTAAAATCGATTCGGAGTCGATTTAGATATATACTTACTATATACTTATATAAGTGTATTATTACGTAGAAAGATTAACTGAATTACGAGAAAGAAGTAGCGGATAACAAGTTATTACTAGGGAAAGTAGAATGTAATCGAAATCAGAATTCAAATTCGATTTGAATTCGATTCTATAGTTAGCTAGACCCAATTTTCAGATATTTTCTAGCTAATGACAATGGAGAGATTATCTACCCCACTATGCTAGGACCTCATTATTGAACATCACGTGAGGTCATTGTCGGCTCAACTAGGGGGGTTTAAATTCACCTTAACTGTAGTCTCCGATTTCGGCTCGTTTATGTGGGAGAAACCCACTATTTACATAAGGGCAAAAAGGTACCGTTCTCTCATATATGGGGCTGTCTCAGCTCCTTTCCTTTCCCGCAGGCCCTGTTGCTGTCAACTCTGTGCTTCGTCCATGGGCACCTCCCGGCATCACCTGGTCTCGCATCTCCCTCCTATCTCGAGGGCTCGATAAGTCAAAGTGAAGTCCCAGGCATGCAATCCTTCCTCCAGAGCAGGCGGCTGGGTCTCGCCGCGAAAGCCCAAGTCGAGCGAGACCTTGAGAAGGGAGCGCTGATAACACGTAGCAGCGGCCCGAGAGGTGTCATCGCAGACGCGCAGGACAGCGATGCGGTTAATTTCGAGAAGACGGCTACTGAGGGTCACTCAGAGCCTGCGGTAGCCAGCAACGGCCAGACGAGCGATGCGCGCCCAGTAGAGGAAACTAAGGCGAAACTCCCAGCAAAGCGCCGTCCGTCCGATGCGACAAGCTCGGGCAGAGTCGAAGACGAAGACGACAGTCCAGAGTCTCCAGGCTCTGTCGTACAGCGCGTGCAAACCGTTGCGACGCAGTACAGCACAGCTGCAGCCCTGGGTCACTCGCTGACTGGCGTGCACGTCCGTGATCGACAGACGCACGAGGGCAAAGGCGAAAAGGTCTTCATTGTAGGCTGGGAGGGACCTGATGACCCCTTGAATCCGCGAAACTGGACCACGACCAAGCGCATTCTCTGCATTCTCGAAGTTTCCACCATAGCCCTTGTCGTTGGAGCAGCTTCTGGAATTGACGCCACCATTTTGCCCCAGGCCGCGGAGGATCTGGGCGTCAGTGATGTGGCCGAGACACTAGACACAGGGTTGTACCTTGTCGGAATGGGCCTGGGTGGTCTCATCGCTGGGCCCTTCTCGGAGACATTCGGTCGCAATGCTGTCTATACCGTGTCCATGGCCGTCTTCATGATATGGATCATGGCAGCAGGGCTTGCGCCCAATTATGGCGCTCAGATCATCTTTCGATTATTCGCTGGCTGCTCTGCCTCGACGCCTCTGGTGTGCTCTGGCGGCTCCGTTGCCGATATGTTCAACAGCATCGAGAAGACGTGGGGGTTTCCCATTTACGCCATCTCGTCTTTCGGAGGCCCCATGTTGGGCGCTGTGATGGGCGCTTACATTGGCCCCTCGACTCTGGTCAGCTGGCGCTGGAGCGAATGGACCATCTTGATCTTCTCGGGCCTTATAACCATCCTCTTATTTTTCTGCATGCCCGAGACCTACGAGCCTCTACTCCTAGGATGGAAAGCGAAGCACCTCCGCAAGATAACCGGCGACTCACGCTACTGTACCGAGCACGAGATCGTCAAGGCTACGCTGTTCACACGCCTAAAAGTCAGCATGACGCGGCCCTTTCTCATGCTTACCGAGCCCATCATCCTGGCTATGGCGCTCTATCTCACAGTGCTGTACATCGTACTATTCACCTTCCTAGTCGGCTGGCCGTACATCTTCGACTATCCGTACGACATCGGCCAGGGCCTGAGCAACATCGTATTCATCTCCATGTTTGTTGGGCTCATGTTCAGCTTCTTTCTGGTGCCTATCGTCTACCGCAAGACGATTAACCAGATGAAGCTCGCTGAGTCCCGCGGCGAGGGCAGCCAGTTCGACCCTGAGAGTCGCCTCTGGTACGCCATGCTGGGTTGTTCAGCAGCCATCCCCATCTCCCTGTTCTGGATGGGCTGGACGAGCTCGCCGAGTATCAGCATCTGGTCGCCCATTCTGGCCGCTGCGCTCTTTGGCTACGGCATCATCGGCATCTTCCTAGCGGCGTACATGTATATCATCGACTCGTACGAGATCTACTCAGCCTCGGCCCTGACATTCGTCGCGCTGACACGATATGTCGCTGCGGGCGGTATGACGGTCGTTGGTCTGCCGTTTTACAAGAACATGGGTGTGCATTATACCCTGACCATACTTGGCTCTATATCGGCTGTTCTGGTGCCGATTCCGTATTTGCTGTACAAGTGGGGGTACTTGCTAAGGAGAAGGAGCAAGTATGCTGTTTCGACGCATATTTGAGTAAGCAAAGCAATGCTTATGGGAAGGGGGAAGAGAATGATGCATTGCCTAGTATTAGATGATTTCGGGCAGCACGGGCAGCACGGGCATCTTTTAATGTTAGTACATGCGAGTTAATAGTCTCGCTTCTGTAAAGTAGCATAGTAGAAAGCTATGTTACACTCGGGATATCATCCGGGATTTTCACACGGTGTATTAAAGATAGACTTAAAGGATAAGCCGCAGCCCCTGAGGATCATGCACTTGTGCGTTTACAGAAATCAATGTATCTACATCCAGTATCGGTGATCAACGATCTTTTCGTGTTTTTTTAATCCAATTTCATCATTGGTATTTATGTTCTCCATTAGTGACAGCCACATTCGCATCCATCTCGTCGGCGGGTCCGCTGAGCACGGTATCGTCTAGCCCATTCACGCAGGCCCCCTCAAACGGTATGCCCTGAAGCTCGGCCTTCTCACGCACCACGTCTAGGGACCCGCGTACAGCTACCATATTGTGGCTACCTCTGCTATATCTCTGCTCTAGTAAGGCGGCCCGGCTACCGACGCGGAAGATAGTATCCGTAGCGGAGAGCACATCCGCGATATGCATAGCCGCGTACTCGCCTAGACTATGTCTAACAACTACGTCAGGACGTACGCCGAGCGAGGCCTAATATTTAGCGACCGCTATCTCAGTACACACTAGCGCGAGCTGCATAACTACGGGCGAATGCGTATAATCGTGTACGTGGCTACTGTTAATAGCGGGGATAAAGGACGGAAATCCCTGTGCCTAAGCCAGCGAGCCCAGATGCAGGAGCTGTACGCGGAACAGCTGGAAGTCCATGGATCGATGTAAAGCGCCCTGGCCCTTTGTCAGAGAACAGAATGCCATAGGCACCAGTGGGTGTCAGGACACTGAACGCAGGACACCGGTGGGCCGCCGGAGGGGTGTTTCGGACAAAAGACTCCCGAATCATGATTACAATCTATGTGAAGCTTTGGGATGACGAGAGTCAAGATCCTTGGCATCGCCGACCCTGCTGTTATGCCGGGTCCAAGCGGCGGCCTAGCTATCTATATAAGGACCATCTCGAAGTAGGATAGGGAAGGAGTTGTCAGAGCCACAAGTGTCATCCGAGGCGGGCCGGCTTCCACCAGGTAGGAAGCCGGTTGTGGCGAATAAGGAGCCGGGAAGCCGTTTGTGGCGGCTAGAGAGCCGCTTGTGGCGAATGAGAGCCGTTGAAGCCGTTTGCAGCGGATAGGGAATCGCTTGGTTGCAGATAAGGAGCCGCTGTCCAAGATATTGGCCGAAGTCGGAGGAACATAGACATACGGAAGCAAACATCCAGAATCCAAGAGAGAACCTCGGCTGGCTATAAGTAAGGAGTCGAGACGGAGGAAGATAGAGAGGGCAGAGATCAATGCATCACCGTGGGCACCCCTACCTGAGACCGCCAGTGACCACCCGGTGCTACGTAGGAGGGACGCCCGTTACTCCCCATCACTCTGTACTATTGCCTTCGGCCTAGCCGTACCCTGACACCCTTGAAGGCGAACACTACCGCCGGCGGGCCGCCGCCTTCCCACGCCCCTCAACTCAAAAATGTCATAAAATGGACGCATGCCAACAGCCTTCGCCATGGGCGCCAGATCAGTGAGCCCCGCGGCGACCAGATAGCCTTTAGTAGGACCACGGCGCCGCTGGGCGTAGTCGTTCCGCATGAATACGGGATGCAGTGTAAGGAAAGAGCCGTTGTGGCGGGCCGGTCTCAGCTGACAAGCTGAGTCGGGAGGGATTCGCCCCCGATCCGGTAGAACCCCGGAACCGCCCAGCTTAAGAGGAGAACTCGAGACGCTCGCACCTAGTTCAGATTCTTCAAGAATCAGTCTTGCAATATACGCACCCATACACTGGCCTACTTCTAGCTACCCTTTGCACCGCCTGACTATTATATTGTGAGACGTGTGGTATCCTCGTTACATTTCGCTTGTCCTGGGCTGTTCGGATCGCTGATAAGTTAACGAATACTTTATTCGGGTCTGGCTCGAAGGGCTGGCGTATATCTGGAGCGTATTTATCGAGTTCTTTATATAGTTGCTCGTTTTCGATACGTCATTTGGCATTCTCGGCGGCCTGGAGTGTAAGGGCCTTGCCCGCCTTGCCTACTAGGGTGCGAATCTTACGAGATACCCCGCCCTCGGCTTTCTCTATCGACTGTAGTTGGCTAGATAGTTGCTGTGACGGTCAACCCTCGCAGACTCACTACAACCAGGTGACTTACAGCTGTAACACCTGCCGTGGCAGTGTCAGATGGGAAGCCAATCATAACCCTTGTAGGAGCCCCGCCAAGCGTGGATGACTTAGTCGCGCTCCCTCAAACCTAAGTTGTCATCTTCTTTCCTTCGCTCCTTAGAGTAGAATCTTCGTCGATAGCACCTAATCGAGGTCTATACCAATGCGATGCAACCCAGGTCGTGACAGTTGCTGCGCTTTCTGAGGAGTAAAAGCAACTAAAGGTGGTGATATATGAGACGGAGGATCTGGTATATGAGGCTCCGGAGGATCACAAGATACGTCGACTAGTCCTTCGGAGCCTAGGGGCCATATACCAGTCTTCCGCCAGCCAGATTTAATATTTTCCGTAGTAAAGGCTCTCTCCGAGGCACGTAGATATGTTTCTAACATATTTTGCTTGTAAATTGGGGCTGTAGCCTTGTAGGAAGCGTAAGCCCTGAGCTCTTGGCGGTAGTAGGTCTTCAAAGGTGAGAACGGCCCGACATCGCACGGCTGGAGATCGTCACTGCAGTGTGAGGGTAAATACAGCACGGCGACTCTATTCGAGTAGGCTTTCCACATAAATTCGGCATGAATATGTGTCTGGTGGCCGTCGAGGATAAGGAGTGGCCATTCGGTACCCCTAGGCTTCGTCTCGGGGAGAAAAACCTGATCTAACCACCTATTTGCGATAACTTTATTACTCCAGCCCTTACTCGTCGCGGTGTATTCCCACTCAGGGATATTTTGGTCTGGGAACCACTGTGCTTGGACTCTCTTGCCGGAAAATACGCAGACAGGTGTACCCCGTTGGGTATGCGAAATGTACTCTAACCAGGAGCACCACGACGAAGCGTCCGACTTTGATACGCGTATCCGGCGTGAATTAGACGTCCTAATAACCGTACCGTGCGCAGATTCCCCCTCTTGGACACCTGTCTCATCCATATTATACTCGTTGTCGGGTTTGATACGATACTTCGTACGTAAGCGTTCGAGGAGGGTGTAGAAGTCTCGGATCTTGTTCGAATCGGACGCTCTAACTCGGCTAGCATCTACGACGCGCCCAATTTTGGTACGTATCTGTGGATGGCGGCTAACGAAGTGATCCACCCAGTGTTGGCCGAGTGTATTGTTATCCCCTTGAGCAAGGAGGATTTCGGCAGCGAAGTCGGCCACATAACGCTTGCTAGGAGCCCGTCCACACACTTCTTCGTGTAGGACCCAGTTCACGATAACCCCCTCTTGCTCTGGAGTCAACTTTTGTTGCCTGGAGGCCGCGTCGCGATGCGAATTACCGTGACGAATACGGTAGGACAGTGTAGTGCCCTTGATACCGTACCGATGAGCTGCTACGGCCTGGGAAGAGCCCTGACGGACAAGCTCTTTAGCGCGTTCAATTCGCTGCTCAAAATAGTCCAGACTATTCTCCACTGGATTAGCCATTTTGTACGTAGATAGGGAGCAATTGCGAGGTAAATTGAGAGACGTCGTGTTGTTGAGGCGTAGAAATTCCTGCAAAATGGGGGTGCATGCAAAAAGGTGGTCAATACGGTTCCTAACGTCAGCCTAGGAACTCTGGCCAATGAAAGTAGCCCCACCCACGCGTGGGGACACGCGACTGCATCAGATTCGATTCTTAAACCCCCCTTCACCTTTGAGTGACAAAGCTCATAACTGACCTGCCGGTGTGCAAATATACATTATCCACCTTCCAACATATAGCCAGTCTCTAGGAAAGCCGTTTTTTGGCTAAATCAGTGTCCGTGCAGCAGAGCGAACTCAGATTGATAATTGTCTTGAACTATCTTGGGTGTTTTTCTGGTCAGGACGATTTTTATGCCCCCTTATTCAACATGCCGTCGTTTCGGCATCTTCCAGTGGAGCTTCTGCTGCTGGTATCCGAGGATCTAGACATCCGGGACCTCTCAAGTCTCTCTCGATCTTGTCAATACGCTCGCAATGGGATCATTTCGAGCCTGTGCCGCCGCGTCAAAGACGACCCGGCAGTGTTATGCTGGGCCGTGGATGAAGGCCAGATCGGAACGGTCGAACGCCTCCTAGTGGCCGGGGCAGACCCAAATGTTGCATGGATCCAGAACGAGTCCAGGACTCATACATTGAAACGTTTAAAGGCTCAATACGACTTCTATCGTTCTATGGGTTTGAACACACCACAGGTGCATCATACGGTCCGCCAGCAGTATGGCTACGATGGAGATGAGGTGAGCAGTCCCTTCTAGTTCGCTACTGTTGATATTGGAAAGCTTCCTAGTATATCGCCCCCGGCAAGGTGAAGTCATGCCTGCAGAGGTTCACACATTAAACTTACCCTGCATTTTCTACACGTCGCTGGGGCTGCCTTATGTACATGCACTGCCAAATTACCTACCTTGGGTGTCTAACACTTAACATTAGCTCCTTGCGTTGACATGAAGTTCCCCGCAGGTACATGATGTTGGACAGAATGCCGTTGATAGTTACGGCAGCAGGGATGAAAATGCGGCTAAAGACCAAGACGACGGCGATGTTAAGTTGAATAACCAGGAATCGACAGAGACAGATGATGACGGATCATACGATGGATCAGGCGATGGGTCAGAAGAGAGATCGGATGAGAGTGACGGCGAAGACAACACCGTCATCAACTCCCCAAGCTGGCCGACGTCATCGGCAGGACTTTATCCCAACCTTTGCTTCTGGACACCTCTGCATATTGCGGTCCGTTGGGGTCGGGACGACATTGTCAGTATGCTCTTGGCTTACGGCGCAAACATGCATGCCCTCTCAAGGGGGTTCTGCGAATGCTCGTACCCCGGTGACCACACCTTCGCGGTTGCAGAAGAAGATAACGAACCCCTTTGGATGCCACTTCATACTGCGATTTGCTGTGGCCACGGGTCGACCGCACAGCTTCTCTTATCGTGTGGTGCTTCCACAGTCGTCACTACCAAGTTCATTGGGTCCAACGAGGATCGAACGACCGCACTTCACACGGCCTGTTTCTCCGACATGAGGTCAATATCCCGCTTCATCGTCGACCAAGGGTATCAAACAGACCTAGACGTGAAAGATCACCGTGGCAGAACACCGCTGACTTACGCTTATTACACTGGCAGCTGGGAAAGTATTGATTTGCTAGTCGAGATGGGTGCCGAGCTCAATTCTCACCTAGGACCTCTCACTCTGCTCAATCATGCTTGCTTGGAGCGTCGCTTTGCCGAAGCCCTCCGGTTTAACGAACTGGGTGCGTCTATCAATACGGAAACACAATACGGCGGATTGACGACATTGCATTGCTGTTGCACGCGGCAATACATGAACACGAAGCTACCGCACAACTTTCACACACGCTACATGAGCCAGGTGCAGGTGCACCTCAGAACCAGAGTTGCGCAGACTGTCATCAAGGCAGGAGTCGACGTCAACGCCAGGGCCGAACATCAAGACACGCCACTCTTGAACGCTGCTTTTCACATCAACCTGAACTTATCGAAATCCTTCTTGATACAGGAGCGAATCTTGATGTCCGGGACGCAGCTGGTTATTCCCCACTGGCAATGGCATGTCAGACCGAGTCGAACGGCGCGATGCTACAAACTGTCAAGACGTTGCTCAATCACATGCGGACGGACCCGAAGGATATGTTTGATTGCCTCGAATTGCTCTCCTCGAATAGATATGCTGGGTCAGAAGGTTGTGCCGTCATGCGTCTCGAGCATGGAGGGAATTCCTTTTTGAGTGGCATGGCCGGACAAAATCTTCTATCGAGTGCATGTCACAGCAAGAACTTTGCGCTTTGCAATTTGCTAATATACAGTGGTGTGACAAAGGTCAAGCGCTCCGAGTTGAAGAGGATGGTCGATGCGGCAATCGGCGAAGACGACGCGAATTGTCTCCAGTATATACTCGACAAAATTCCTGGCGCCGCCCCCTACGCAACTGACGATCGCCTCCTGTTTGAGGCAATCCGAGATGGCAAGAAATCTTGCGCCAAATGTCTTATCCACGCCCAAGTTCCGACAACTTACCAAGAGGATGGACTTACCTGCTTCTTGTGGTCTTGCCTACTTGGCAGTGTTTCCCTTACTCGGCTTCTACTCGACAAGGGCGCAGACCCGAACCAATGTTCCGATGACGGCATTTGCCCTCTGGATTTGGCCGTGAGGAAAAACAAGCTCGGCTTGATTGAGCTGTTGCTCGACCACGGCGCAGACATGCACGAACACCCCGCAAGTCTGGAGCAAGCAGGGGCGCTTGACCTCGCTATCCGACTTGGCCAGAACGATGCTGTGACGAAAATGATCTCTCACCCAACATACTTGGATTCTACTGCAAGTCGACGAAATAATTATTTGCGTCTAGCTTGCTGGTCACCTTCCGGTTTTGGCACAGGCTACATTCTCAACGAATTCCTCAGCGACGGAGATGTAGATCCCAATACGGTATTCGACGGCATCGGCCTCACTCCACTGGTCCTCTCCATTATACGCTAGAACTGCCTGGCAGTGGCACTGCTCATGCGTTGGGGCGGCGACATCTACCAGGAGTTTCCCCACCCGCTGGGCGTCTTGGAGGTAGAAATTACACATGCGGATGGCCAATTAACGGCCCTAGAACTCGCTATTAAACTCGGACCCTCTCGCATGGTTGAACATATGCTGGTAATGGATCCAATCTCAGACCACCCGAATGCGCCCACGGTCAACTGTGTCAGAATTGCGTGTCGCAGGCACAAGGCTGAACTGTTGAAGCTTCTTTTCGGGTCGGGTGTAGATGCGAATATTCGCGACGAAAATGGCGACACACCCCTGGCTTTGCTCTGCCAAGCTGTGGATCAGGAAGCCGTGGTGTTTGCTGCTGATGGCCCCGAACCGGATTGGCCGTTTAGCATTATCGTCGCGAGACTGTCAGCATGTGTATCTACGATACTATCTGCTGGGGCCGACCCGACTATTAAGAACAATTCGGAGCTCTCGCCCCTGGATCACTTGCGTCGGCACATGAATTACGATGGAGATGAACAGTTTCGACAGGAACTTGCTAGTTGTTGGAACGATCGGTTTGATATTGATGAGTTTGAAATTCAAGAGCGACCAACTTGCGGACCACTGCTGGACATGCATTCATCTAGACATTCGCCCGCGGCGGTGTATGATGACGTACGGGCTAGACCATGCCCTATGCCGAAACTTCGGGACCAAATGAATTTATTTAACTAACTTCGCACTTGTGTTTTATTAGTACCCCTAATGAACTGATTTGGTGTAGTCAGCCTTTTCTGAACATGACAGTGATAGCATTCTTCATCATCGCGTGTACAAGTCACCGATAGAAATATAGCGTTAGCAGGGACTGTAATTCTTTGCTCTATCGAATAGGGGCCTGTGAAGTTACCCCTCACCCAATTCGATAGAGAAAAGGCGACCTCATGTATCCAAGCCTCGGATCAACCACACTAATATCCACTGTTACTAAAACCCACCAAAATCTCCGGGTTTTAGTCAGGGGATTATATCCCTTTAGAGAGTTAGTGACTTATAATTAGCAGTTTTTAGTAGATATTCTACAGGGGCTATATATTGTACCTTGATGCGTGTGCATATGGGGTGTGAATTGTTGTATTGGGAAAGGATGCCAGGTCAGCTATTCTGGCCTGGCAGAGCTCTTTTATAGCTCTTATCTATCTTATCTCTAGCTATACGGCAACCCCCATGGGGTCACGTATCAAAATGCCGGGCTACACGGAAAATGGTACTGTCCTCAGTACGTTTGGTGCAGCGGTACTTGCCAAGGTGTAGAGCTGTTAAGTTGGCCAAATCGCTGTATTCGGAGGAGACTGCTCAAGCCAAGCTCTGTATAGCGGGGTCTCCGAAGGCATTGTGTCGATGGCCAGGCCAAAGTACTGTTGCATCATGTTGCCAGCTGCTGTATATCTGACCTTGACGGGGATACGGATGCCGACACCTTTGACTGTGGTCGGGGCAGTGCTCTTGACGATATGTTCGCTCTAGTGCGTTTAGTATAGGGAATCGTATGATCGGAAGGCGACGGCGATAGACTCGACTCGATGAAAGGAAACGAAGTCGAAGAGATCTTGACGGCCGGCGGCTGTGGGCGCTTGATGTTGTAGATAGACTCCGGGACGGTTATTCTGGTAGAGACTGGCCTAGTGAAAGGGTCCCTCGATAGACTGTGATAGTGATCGCTTCGTAATCGCTGCGATCGTAATACTTAGGTGCTGCTAGAAGACTGGCCTAATGAAAGGGTCCTCTTAATGAAGGTGTGCGTGATAGGTGCGAGACGCGATGGTGATCTTGATAGATCTGGGGCCGATCTGGCTGGTTTTGGTGCGTGCGAAACGCTGGCGGCGATAGGATCGTAGCCGTGATGGTGATCTTGATCGATAGATAGATGGTTGGTTTGGTTTGGTGGATTTACTCAATCTCGAGGAGATGCTACCATTTGATGCGTGTGCATATGGGGTGTGAATTGTTGTATTGGGAAAGGATGTGTATCCTGGTCGATCTGACCTCACAGGACTCAAGTCACGAATATCAGGATTGATTTCGTGCCAAGTCAGTTGTGTGGTTCAGATCTCTTTTTATGGTCTTTTTTCTAGAAAGCTCAGCTATTTCCGAAGCTACGAAATGTTGCTTAAGAGCAACGATGTAGCCAATCAGATCCTCTGATTTGGATCCACAGCGGTAAGGTTCTAAGATAACATGTGGGTCACGTCGGAAAGACAGATATGTGGGGAATATGGGAATGTAGACCCACATGTCATCTTGGCTACCGGGGGGGAGTGTAGCTCGTCAAACTCCTCCACAGCTCAACACCTTGTTCATTTAAACCCGATTAAGCATCGAGGCAACGCTAAGCTCCCTGGCGTCAATGCTATGTAATCACGTCATCCTTTCCACTCGGGAGGCTCCGTCCCGTCAAGGCGCTACGTTATGCTTCGTTTGGTTTCGATGAGGTACCTTCTTATTTTTTGGTCTTGTCTGCTGTGTTTAGCACGTTTGCTTTCTTTGCCATCCCTGTCTCGACTTGTCTGGCGTGTTTGCAAACTTTGCTATGTTCATTTGGATGCCTCTATCGTAAAGCAATATTCTTGCGCTATGAAGGGTGTGATAAGTTGTATTTGGATAGATCTAACTGTTGGATAGAGTGTATCAAATTTATGTTTCAAAGCATAAAAACTCGTTCCTGTCAGCTGGCAGGGCCCCTGTCTTTTATGTACTGCACTCAGAGTTACTTGCTAGGGGGGCCCTTGATTGCCTAAAATAAGGAATTTATGGGCCCAATCACCCGAAGGGCGTGTGTCTACATTTGCAAAGGCTAGACCCTTATTTAGTTTAAGAGGGTTACTTCATTAGTCATCTTAGTCTGTAAATTCTCGTCTCTCTTTTCTCTTGCTTTTGAGCGTCTGCTGTATTTGCTATTGTGCTCTTACACATAAGCTGATTGGGTGTTCTTTGACGATATATTGGCACCGATGATTTGTGCTTTTCAAGACGATATCTCAGGGAAAGGAGCAAGATTCACCACTAGGGGAGTCCGTGGACATGAGCGAGCAAGATCTCCCAGCTGTCAGAGGCCACGTCCCGTACAGAGTATGGGTTGTACAAGGCCTGTACTTCCTGGAGATAGCAGCATCTTATGGTCTCAGCCAGGTCCTCCGTGTCTCTCCATGTGTATGACGTTGGCATATGGCATCAAGCTAACAGAACTCCCATAGAAAATTACCTTCAGCTTTTTCCGGATGACCCTGTTCGCCCAGGAGCTCTTGGTTTAGGGGAGGCAAGAGCAGTGTTGATAATATATATTTGGTTCATATACAGCTACAGCACACCTCTTGTAGGGGGACTGGTGGCAGACTGTTGGCTGGGCCGTCGTAAAACGATCCAGGTTGGATTCCTGTACGTTCATTAGCGATCTTGCTCAGCTTTTAGAAAGAAACTATTGGTTCAGAATTTATATATTAGGGCTAGGTATCATCACTGGTACGGCTTTCTCGCAGCGGATTTACGGCACAGGCGGCCTTCCTGGCTTCATAGTTGGCATGTTTCTTGTCGGCGCTGGTACCGGAACTGTGAAACCCAACATAACAGTATTCTTGAGTAAGCGTTGGGAGCTCGATGATTTGATCTTGACTAAGTGCTGATCATCAACAGTTGACCAGTTCCCTGAAGAGGAACCGAAGGTCGTGGTTTTGAAGAACGGGAAATCAGCGGTGGTGAGCCGTGAACTTACAATTCGGTTTATATGGAACTCCAATTACTGGTATGTCTTATCTTGAGCTTGCCGCGCCGGGGACTTGCCAATTGATGACAGAACAGGATGATCAACGTCGGAGGTTTGTGCGGTATCATAACAACTAACGTAGAAAAGTATGCCGGATTTGGGTTTACCTTTCTAATTTGCCTTTGCTTGATTGTCGCATCTGCAGCAATCTTCCAAGCTGGATATATGAAATTCGGTGAGCGATCGTTGCGTTCTGACAATCATAGTGAGTCCGACGCTGACCAATTCTTAGAAACGGCACCACCGTCTGGAAACGCCATCGCGAATTTGTTCAACGCATTGCGTCGCCGCCGAGACCCAGGCCATCGCAACCCAGATCAGACAGAAGTTGTAAGACAACCGGCTGCTCAACAAGATGACTCTGCAACTCCAAATAAAGACGAGGCTATAATAGCTGAAGCAAAGTCCGCACTCCGAGCTTGTTTAGTCTTGTAAGATATTCCTAAAATAAGAACAGCACATGAATAACAACTACTTACGCCAAGCAGCCTTCCTTTCCCAGCTCTAATGCTCTCCATAAATTCATGGACAGTACCCTCATAGCGCAAGCAGGCACGATGCAAACTCACGGCCTCCCGAACGATATCATGTATAATCTGAATCCAATCTCAGTCATGGTCTTCTTGCCCTTCTTTCAAAGCTGGATTTATCCCACGCTAGCCAAGAGAAAAATCAATTTCTCGGCCGAGCACCGCATCGGCGTGGGCCTTTTCTGTGCCGCGCTTGCAATTGGATATACCACAGGGATTCAACACCTCATATACATAACTGGTCCATGTTTCAGCCATCCAAGGAAGTGCCTTGCTGGGAACATGCCTAACGATGTGACCGTTGGACTTCAAACACCGCCTTACGTATTTCTCGGGTGGGCAGAAATCCTTGCGATCGTATCAGGTACCGAACTTGCTTATTCGCGGGCTCCAGCAAATATGAAGTCGATAGTTCAGGCTCTTTTCAACCTTTTCAGTGCCTTGGGCTCGGTTTTGGGTGTCGGTGTGTCGTTTGCCGCCTATGATCCCAACATGGTCATTGTATATGGATCAATAACCGGGCTATTACTTTTTGTCACTTTTGCGTTCGAATTGGCCTATTTACTCAGAGGTAAAGCCTCCAGCTGAACGGTAAAATCTGTGGTCTTATGGAAATACATATTTAAGAACCTATCGCAAATAATTCTGGCGTTAGTGTATGATTGAGAATTGTGATCGGGGTGTAGTACACATTGAGCAGGGAAAGCAGAAAGGTTTTGGTAGAATAAGAGTTGAAATTGTATGCAAGTTTATATACACGCAAAAAGACAATAGAAACGGCCAGTTGGTATTCTAGTACTTTAGTGATCACACAGTGTCAGGGTACGGCTAGGCCGAAGGCAATAGTACAGAGTGATGGGGAGTAACGGGCGTCCCTCCTACGTAGCACCGGGTGGTCACTGGCGGTCTCAGGTAGGGGTGCCCACGGTGATGCATTGATCTCTGCTCCTTCCCTATCCTACTTCGAGATGGTCCTTATATAGATAGCTAGGCCGCCGCTTGGACCCGGCATAACAGCAGGGTCGGCGATGCCAAGGATCTTGACTCTCGTCATCCCAAAGCTTCACATAGATTGTAATCATGACTCGGGAGTCTTTTGTCCGAAACACCCCTCCGGCGCCCCACCGGTGTCTTGCGTTCAGTGTCCTGACACCCACTGGTGCCTATGGCATTCTGTTCTCTGACACACAGGTCCTTGGCGTGTCTTGCATCTTGTCTAAAGGGACCTGATCTGCCAGTCGCCCAACTTCTCCTTACTTGCCCACTATAATCTGTTTCTCTAGCCTTGTGAAATTTGGAGTTACAGGAATTTCTTAGAATTATGAATTGTTGAAGAACTACAAGTCATAAATCTTATTGATTTTATAACTCTGTATCTGACATAGCTTTGTTCCTATCATTGTCTACGTACATGTTATTTACTGGATTTGGATGCTAGATGTTAATATTATTTATTTCCCGTAACTAAGAAGAAAATGTTCTAACCCTGGCCAAGTTTTGCCAAGGGAAGCTTAACCAAACTAGGTATAATGCACAGTATCAGATCTTTCTGGTGTTGCATATGCCCCACATATGCTAATTCTAAAAGAGATAGATCTATGTGTTTTGCATATAGAGTGTTCCGAAATCGCTTGATCAGTGTAGACCTTTAATTAGATAGCTATCACAGAAGAATTTCATAACTTCTTGTTTTCCTAAAATTCATACACCTCATGGCGGACGAAACTGATTATGAACATGAGAGCGCACTCAGCACGGATAAAACATATGCAGAGCATACGCAAAACATCAGCGATAACGAGAAGTTAATTCTCTGGCTTAATGGCGTAAGATAACTAACTAAATATCAGCGTCGTTGATACTAAATATACACTAGGTTACACAGGATGAAGATACACAGCAAGGCCTATATAGCTCTCAATGGGATATTCCATCGGAAGCTATCCCATATATGGGGTTTTCTCCTGTAAGTAGCCCTCAGCATATCAGGTGCATATACTGAACATATCCTCAGGAGATGATCGAAAACTTTGGACTAATAATCAGTTCCAATGGGCGCCAAAGGGTTCAAGTTCACCAAATCGAATATTATTATATCTTACCAGAGTATACTCATACACGCTCAACTGGAATTGCAACCTTTGTTCATGTAGCAAAGCCGTTATTACCAGACAATCCAACACCACAAGAGATAAGCGCTGCTTTTACGAAGATCAAAACCCAAGTAAGGCATATACTAACCGTATACATATAACATACTAATCATATACTAATTTGATATAGATTGAGTTCAGTTTAGGGAACGGTAATGGAAATGGTCGCTATAATATAACATCGTTGAAATTCCTCCAGTAAGTGCAGGGCGTATGGGCGACATATGGGCAGCATATGTACAACTTAGGCTAACCTATGGTTAGTTCTAATCGGAAGCTAAATCAAGCTTGGCATATGCCATACAAATGTAGTGATATCCGGGTCTGTGGACATGTGCACCCGAAGGTCACTTCATATACAGAGGAGTATAATCGTGTAGATGTTTCCCAAATCCGAAATATTGTTCGGGAGCTCCCAAAGCCTACACTTAGTAGTATACAGCAGATGCTTAAAGAGGCTATTGAAAAGTAAGTAAGCATGCTTCAGATTAACATATGCTTCATCTATACTAAGTTTGATTATAGTCAATATAACGCATTTTTGCAATTATGGCAGGCAGAGGGTACAGCTCCATGCCAGCCTTTTAAAAAGGACCGGTATCCTCGCTGCTGTAAAGGCCAAAGATTAACTGTATTTTACCGGAACAGGGTATGTTTATAGTAAGCATATGCCTAATTCTATTCTAACTAGATCAATCTCTAGATCCCCTTTATTGGGTGCCCGAAGAATTCTGACGGTGAACCTTGGCATACCGCATGGTCATTACCTTCGTATAAGTCCAGTATTGATATCGCATATCTCAGAGCCTTATGCGAGAGTTGTATTACCGGTGAAAAAGATCAGTGTGTATGGATTGGGAGACCAGAGCAGAAGCGGCAATACTATGGTACTTGAACATATGTTTAGTTTATGTGTAATATCTGCTAATAATAAATATAGGATTTCATCACCGCCGGGGACCTAAAGAGACATGGGTTACGTCGTGCACATGCCGGATTGATATGTATATTCCCCAGAATATGTACCGATTGTGACGACTGACACATGGACGATAAGCAGGGACATCCTGACATGGCCTGCCCTGATCTGGACGAGCGCGTTCCCCTTATAATAGGAGAACGGCCAGACATACTTGTAACCCTTTCCTTCTCTTTCTTCCCTAGTTTAGTATTCAACAATAGAGATGCACTGATATGCAACCTTGATTCGTACCTATGTGCCTCTGTCTCGTTACAACGCTCGGCTTTAACGAAAGCTCTTTTAACGGATAAAGGATGCGCAGAGGAGAAGGTAATATATTGGTGCTTATTTAAAGCTTTCTCGAAGACTTTTGTAACCATTTTCCCGTTAGGGTTAGGGTTAGGGTTAGGGTTAGGGTTAGGGTTAGGGTTAGGGTTAGGGTTAGGGTTAGGGTTAGGGTTAGGGTTAGGGTTAGGGTTAGGGTTAGGGTTAGGGTTAGGGT